TAACATGATTTTTAGGGTTGCTAATATTTGGAACACCCTTACCTCGAAGCTGATCTTACTTGGTTTCTTTTCTATAGCAAGAAACAGTAAAAAAAAACGTAGTCTAATACACATGTCCAAAGGTGACTGGCACGGTTCACATAAAAATTATTGTTCCAAACACATAATCCACCAACACTAAAACTCACCTTTATACATTAGCTACTAAATCATTAATGAAACTTCCTAGAGTAACGCCTTGGAAGAAATGCTCAATGTATATTTTTCAATCCTTCTTCTATCTGTACTTCTTCCTCATCTGTTACTAATAGAAGAGTATGTTTGTTATGTTTCAATAATAAAGCACATAAAAGTGCAAAAAAAAAAAAAACAATAGAGGGACATAATTATTAACTTACAGTAAAATGCTAAAATATGATAAATAGTAATACAAATAATTATTAGGCGAAATTGAGGTAGGATGGGTCAAAATTAGTACAAGACAGAGCGAGACAAGTTGAAAATAATATTTATGCCTCGTCTCATGCTACTACGACTTGATAATAACCTCCTCACCGTGAACCAAGTCGAGTTTCGAACAAGAAGGATTCAGATTGGCACACCCGTGTTGGAGCCCCAAAGTGCAAATATGAGATAGTGGTTTTTATAAGGAATTTCGTAGAGAATATTGGAGACGAAGATAATCAACATGGTGTTTGCCTAGGTGATTGAGATTATAGGAACTTCATTGGATGAGAATGATCAGCAACACAAAATCGATGTTGCCCCTATCTGCCTATTTTCTCTCCTTCTCATTGCTTCTTTTCTCTTCTCTTCTCAGGGTAATGTCACATGTGGTAGATGACATAGTAAGGCCGTGACAGTAACCCCATGACTTTTCTTGAGTTTTTTTTCTCTCCATCAAAGCGGTCAGCCCACCTTCCTTCTCATACTTGCCACTTCTATATCTTATTTGGTCTAATCTCACCAACTGACATCTAGGTGAAAACTACGACGTCTAATGACTCACTCCTACTGTCACTCTAGAAAATGGCCAAGTGTAACCACTTCCTAAAGCGTAGTATAGCGGGTTTGGATTTTATTGTCAACCCGGGTCCTAGATGTGATGACTACTCGGTGAATTCTCGTTATCTAGCAGTGAACTTTTAGTGCAAATTCAAGCAAGAGGGAGAGCGGGGGCTCTGGCTCATCGGCATCCATAGCGCCGTCATCATCATCATCAGCATCCTCATCGACCTCCTCGCCCGAGTAGTCAGCATCCTCCTCGTCCTCATCGAGATCAATCATCTCCTCGGGGGGCATAGAAAGCCCGTCCACCCATGTGCGGATGTCATCAGTGGCCAGGAGGCGTGCGCTGTGGAGCACGTCCCGGCTGAGGGGTGCGGAGCCGCCCCGCACGGTCGCATTATGAAGCCCCTGGAAGCTGATGTCGAAATGCTTCGCCAACCGTGTGATCAGGGGACCACAGAAGAGGTGGGTGGGATTTCCGTGGCACCGGGAGAAGGTGGTGGCCACGAAAGATCCCAAGTGGAGCATGTGCTCCGGGTCGCCAATCGAGTACATGGCGTACAACACCTGCTTCGGGATCTTATGCGAGCCGGTGGCGTTGGGGACGATAGAGCGGGTGATCAGCAGGTTCAGGATGTGCCACTGCGGCTTGAGGGTGCTGACGTAGGTCTGGCTAGCATCGAAGTAGTCGTAGCCATGGGCGCGCCTGGCTATCCGGCGGTAGAATGCATCCTGGTTCCAGTCGGTCGGGTTGGCGACCTCGATCTCATGGGCATCGAACGGGTGGTAATTGATCCCCAGAGCGTGGGCCAACCCATCGATGGTCAGCTCCCTGTGATGGCCACCCATCCTGAATGTCACCGCAAATTCGTCCCGGGCCATCTTGCGGTCATAATGAAAGGTGGTGTAGAACTTCCACACCAGCTCCGTGTAGGTAGGCTCGTCGATCGCCAGCAACGTCCGCCAATCACGGTGACTGATGGCGGCGCTGAGCTCCTGCAGACAGTGGAGCTGCTCGAACACCGCCCACTCGAGGTGGTAGTGGTGCTCCAATCGCCCCCGGATCACCTTGCAGAACTGATCCGCGTACTCCGCGTGCAGGCGCAGACCCTGCACAAAGGGATGGTCCTGCGACATGTTCCTGGAAACACAAAGAGAACTGTAGCTAGGACGCGAGGAAAGGGTGAGGGGCGCGAGGGGGGCAAAAAAATCGCCCGTGAGGCTCGCCGGAAAGTGGCCGGAAAATGGTCGGTAACCCGCCGGAAAGTCGCCGGAAAATGACCGCCGGCGGCGGAGGCGGAGGCCGGCAGCGGATAGCGGCAGCCGGCGGCGGATAGCGGCGGCCGGCGGCGGCCAAAGGGGAGAGAGGGGAGAGGATTTGAGAGTAGAGAGAGGGGGGATTTTGGAAAAAATGAGGGTAGAGAGAGAAATGACCGGGGGTTTCCTTTAAATAGGAAAAATACCCGGTCGGGTCTCAAAAATACTCTGTCGGGTATTTTCGAGTCCACGACCGGGGGTCGGCCAAACGCTGCGTTTCATTGATGCGAGGATCCCCGGTCTCGCGCCAAAAATCCCCGGCCGGGTATTTTTGGCGAGAGATCGGGGGTTCCCTGAACGCAGCGTTCTAGGGCCAGGAAATCCCCGGTCTCAAGCCAAAAATACCCGGTCGGGTATTTTTGGCCTGAGGTCGGGGATTAGACCTTTTTGCGCACCGGACGGCAGAAGGGGGCCCGGGCACGAGCCAAAAATACCCGGTCGGGTATTTTGGCTCATGACCGGGTATTTTACCCTTCCGCCCAAAATTCTCATTCTCCAAAATTTCGACCTCTCCGTGGTGGGGTTGCCTCCACACAAGCGCTTCTTTACCGTCTTTTAGCTGGACGCCCATGGCGGAACTAAGGGTCCGCGAGCATTTCTGAGCTCGACCTGGCCATCCGGCAGAATACAGGCAAGTGAGTACGCGGATGGCCAGGGTGATCGCGACGCAGGAGGTGGGACCAGCTCGTAGTGGTCTCCACCCTTCTTCCGTGCAGGCGTAGCAACCTGCTGCTTCGGCCGCCACTCCTCCTTGAGCTTTTTATTCGGCGGTGAGGCTGGGGTGAGTGGCGGCGAAGGAGTGAGAGGGGGATCCTGCAAAATGAGAGGTGTAGAAGGATACACGACAGGCTCGTATATCTGATCGGAAATAGCATGCACAGGTGTGACAGCAATCATAGCACAGTGATCAAACTCTGTCACAGAAAAAGTAGCCTGTTCATTTCCAGCACGCAAGATCAGTTTACCATCATGCACATCAATAAGTGCCTTGGCGGTGGCAAGAAATGGTCTACCTAGGATCAAAGGCACATCCACATCCTCATGTATATCAAGAATAACAAAGTTAACGGGATATGTGAATGCACCCACCTTAACAAGCAGATCTTCTATGATACCCCTAGGATGCACAACGGAACAATCATCTAGTTGAAAGCTCATCCTAGTAGGGCTAAGTTCACCTAGGTCTAGCTTTTTGAACAATTTATATGGCATGACATTAATGCTAGCGCCTAGGTCCGCCAAGGACTTTCCTACATTCATGCTGCCAATAGTAAGAGGGATAGTAAAACTCCCTGGATCCTTGCGCTTTTCGGGCAGCTTGTTCTGCAGGATGGCAGAACATTCCTCGCTCAGCAGCACGGTCGAGAGATCCCCAAGTTTCTTCTTGTTGGTGAGGAGATCTTTCATGAACTTTGCGTACTTGGGCATCTTCGACAGTGCCTCCACAAATGGTACGCTGATGTTGAGCTGCTTCAACATTGCCATAAACTTGGCAAACTCAGTCTCCAGCTTGTCTTTGTGAAGGCGAGTGGGGAAGGGAAGCTGGGGTACGTGCTCCTTCACCACTGGTTGTGGCTTGGGAGCAGGGGCTTCCTTCTCCACCCGCACTTCTGCATCACCGGCTGGAAGTGCTGAAGCAGGTAGTGGTACCTCCTGCCTGGTCGGGGCAGGATCAGCTGATGGAGGCCTTCCGCTCCTGGTGAAAATGGCATCCAGCTGCTCGTGCGGGTCCCGTGGATTGGGGATGGTGGTGGCAGGTAGAGTCCCCGGGGCCCGAGCAGTAAGCTGGCGCGCTAGGACACCGACTTGGTGCTGTAGATCTTGCAGAATAGCACCCTGGTTCCTCTGTCCTGCCTCCAAAGAGGCTATGCTCTGGTCCACCCTCGCGAAATTCGCCTGGCTGGTGGTCATGAATGTCGCCAAAATGTTCTTCAGATCAGCCATCTGATTATCTGGAGCTGCGGCTGCTGGAGGCTGAGCAAACTGGCGCTGGGGCTGCTGGAATGGCTGCCCTTGCCTAGGCTGGTAGGGCTGCTGCTGTGGTGGTGGCCCCTGCCTAGCCTGGAAGGGCTGCCTCTGCTGAAAACCACCTGCTGGTGCTGGGAAACCAGGTGGTTTGTTGGTGTTGCTGCTCCAGGCAAAGTTGGGATGCTGGCGCCATCCCTCATTGTAGATACTGCTGTATGGGTCCAGGCGCCGAGCATTGGCGATGAAGTCCACCTGCTCTTGGGGAGTAGAAGACTCCCTCATAGACTGACAATCCTCCGCCAGGTGATTCGGGCTCTCACACCACTGACACTGAGCTACTGGAGGCGTAGCTACACCTCGGCCCGGAAGGAGACTGTTGGTAGGGGTGGGAATCGGTCGGTAAACGGTAAACCGTTTACCGAATTTACCGGTTTCGGTATACCGAGGGTGGCCAAACTGTTTACCTTTTACCGATACCGATTTGTAACCGGTTTACCGATTACCGAATTACCGGTAAACGGTTACAAACCGGTTTACCGAATTACCGCAAAGGAAATATTGTCATCAGATTGATTTAACCATTCCGGAACGAAAGGCTGTAAAAATAAGTAGGAATCATAAGCTAGCTAGGTAGCCCGCATGTAATAAATTTTGCTTCCTTAACAATGGAATCGATATATGTACTAATTAATTAATCAAGCATCTTAATGATGACGATCGATGAACAGGGTAGCTGCTGCAAGCCACCAGACGAGTGCGGGTTCGTCAAATCGAGCGACAAGAAGGCGATGTGGGTGATGCCGCCGCGGTCATCGACCAAGGACGCGGACTGCGCCGCATGGAGCAACGATCCCAGCAAAAAGTGCTTCGACTGCGGCTCCTGCAAAGCTGGCGTGCTGGAAGACGTCAGGAAATAATGGAGGACGCTGGCTATCATCAACCTTACTGTACTAAGAATTACAAAGGGTATTACTACCCTTGATTGAGTTCTGCCCTGATTTTTGTGGATAGGCCGGTAAGGTAGTTGTAGTTTGTTTCTAGGATTGAAAGTAAAGTGATTCAAATCCTTTCTTCTCCAGTTGTTTTGGTGGTGCCTCGTGTAGTGTATGGAATGTTATTTTAGGTTAAAACAAAGGGTTGGGTTGGGTATCGGTATTACCGATTTACCGTCGGTATTTACCGATACCGGTTTCGGTATACCGACCCACCCAATTCGCCGCTCGACTGCCGATACCGTCGGTAAACGGTTTACCGTTTACCGCCGTTAAACGGTTCGGTAAAACGGGAAACCGTTTACCGGCGTACCGAATCCCACCCCTAACTGTTGGGCTGCTTCAACGTCTGCACCAACTCAGCCACCTGCTGCTCTAACCCGGACCTGGCCTCCATAGCATGCACACCTCGGTCCCGGGAATTCCTGCCTCTGTTGTTCTGGCCCCAAGAATGATCTCGGGCAGCCAAGGTACTGATCATCTGGTTCAGCTCAGGTGGAGTCTTAGTAAGGATATCCCCTCCTGGGCATAGAGACTCAATCACCCTCTGGCTGTCTGGAGTGAGGGCGCTGTAGAAGTTCCCCACTGTGAATGCATCGCTGAAGCCATGATGAAGACACTGCCAGAAGTATCCCATGTACCGCTCCCATGCATCACGAAGTGACTCATCTGGCTCTTGGCGGGAGTGATCTCCCGCTGAATCTCTGTGGTCTTCGATGCCGGATAATACCTGTGCACGAACTTGTCAGCCAGATCGTCCCAAGAGGTGATGGACAATGGGGGCTGGGTCTCCAACCACCTCTTAGCATTCCCCGCCAGAGAATGGGGGAAGAGGTGAAGGCGGATTGCGTCATCCGGGACACCGTTCAGCTTGAACCCATTCGTCAGCTGCAGAAAACGGGAAAGATGTACCCGGGCTTCCTCATCCTTCAAGCCATGGAACTGGATAGAGGATGTGATGAGTTGAATCCAGCATGGCTTGATCTCGAAGTTGTTTACAGGAATGGGCGGATAGAGGATGACCGGGCGGATGTCAGCAATCCGTGGAGTATAGTAGTACTCCAAGGTGGGACCTGGTGGTGGTGGATGATGATGGGCCCCAGCTCCCTGGGGATTGGGGTCGTTCCCCAGGATCTGGTTCACCGGAGGTGGGTTCTGATCGCCTTCCATCTCATACTCGTCCTCGGATTCGCTACTCAATTGGCCGTCTCTGCGCTCCACCGTAGCCAGTCTAGCTCGCCGTTGTCTCCGAAGTTGGTTGCAGGTGCGTTCAATCTCAGGATTCAACGGCAGTAAACCTCCCGACTGGCTACGGGTCATGCACTATCTGCACACAATCAAGCAATGCAAACCCGTGAAGGCACAAGTGGGAAAGAACAAATACTCAATGCGAAAATGAAAATGCTAAAGTAACAGAAATCACTTTTCTTCAACAACCTAGCCGTCCCCGGCAACGGCGCCAAAAACTTGACTCACTCCTACTGTCACTCTAGAAAATGGCCAAGTGTAACCACTTCCTAAAGCGTAGTATAGCGGGTTTGGGTTTTATTGTCAACCCGGGTCCTAGATGTGATGACTACTCGGTGAATTCTCGTTATCTAGCAGTGAACTTTTAGTGCAAATTCAAGCAAACAAAAACACAAAGCAAGTAAACGGTTGTTCAAGTCAAGAGAGGTCACCCGGATATGGTTCCCCCTAGACTGCAGTTAAGTCGGATTGCAATTTACCAAGTTCAGTTTTCATGAAAGGTATACTGCGGAAGGTTCTTAATTAGCCCGAAGTCTCGACTAAAGGTCTCCAGACCCTCTCAATCTGAGTCTCTAGCGGGCGACTAACCTCCACCGGAGTAAACAGATTGAGGCCCTAACGAACCAAACCTCCACTACCGAATTGAATTCGGTACAGAATAGCGAATTGGCTCCTCGACTAAAGTCACCAATTCGCCACCTTCGATTAAGGATACTCTATCAACCTAGGCAGATATTCTCATTCTAGGTCAAAGCAGAAACAACAGGAATTTGATCAGGATTCAAGTCATTCAATCATTCAAACCTCAATCGAATATAATCAATTCACAAACTCTGTACTTGGGCTCATACAATCAGACCTAGCATACAAATCTAGGGTTCCCCATACCCAGATGAATGGGGGAACTACTCCATAGAGAAAGAAGCAAAAGCAGATTCAGACGCGGAAATCATACTGTGAAGATGGATTTCTGCTTCTGGACGTTTAATCGGCACTTCTCCAAGCTCAAGCCGGGCTCCAATGGTGATGAAGATCGAGCTATGGCACTTGGGAACTCTGGTTCGTCGCTTTCTCTCTCTAGGGATCGCTTTCTCTCTCAAAAACTCGGAACCCTTCAATGTTGGCCTTCTTCTTCCTTTTATCAGCTGCCTGGTCGCGATACCCGGTCGAAATACCCGGTCGGGTATTTCGGGTTTCGACCGGGTATTTGCAAAACGCACCGTTTCTTTTAAGAGGAAAATCCCCGGTCTGACTTCATAATCCCCGACCGGGGATTTAAGCCATTTGCCCGGGCCCCCTTCTGTTTCTCACGGACGCCCGAAGTGAAAAATACCCGACCAAGGCCAGAAAATACCTGGTCGGGTATTCTTTCCTTTGGCCGGGTATTTTGGTCCAACAGCCTCCTTCGTCCCAACTTCGCTCCTTTCGACCCAGAACTCGTTTCTCCGCCTCGATTCCAACGCCGGGTCCTGAAATATGACATAAACACAAAACCTAGCGTGAAATCGGCTTAAAACACGAGATTCCTCATCACAAACGGCTTCAGAATAGGGGTGAAAACATGTATAATTATCGGTCTATCATCTAACTTTAACGTATTTCTGCAAAAGATGTCAAGAAAAGCAATGTGTAGTTTTCATAGTACTAAGTTTAGGTGGAATGTTACTTGAACAATAAACTAATCAACAACTCTTTTACTTTGGGTAAATGTCACGTTTGATCACTGGGATTACTAAAACGTGTCATGTTTAGTCACTGAAAAATTTTAATATCAATATTGGTCATTCGAATTAGTAAAACTGTCCATGTTTAGTCACTCTCAGTTAGTTTCCGTTAACACCGTCGGTCAATTGCTTATGTGGCTAACTGAAGTGCTGATTTACCTTTTTTTAATCCATCACATCACCAAACCCGACTCGCTAGGTCACTCAACCCAACCAAAACAGATGATCTTGACCCTTTCCGCCTCTCTCATCCTTCTCTTCTGCCTACTCCACTTTTTGCTTCTCCCTCTCTTCCTCCATCGAAGAAACCTGAAATTGAAGAACCCAGAACTTGATTTGCCTCCTCCAATGTCGTTCCCGAGGTACCCAGCTGCCGCATCTGCTTCATGGAGCTACATATCTCCTCCACAGCGTCGCCGAAGGCAGTCGTGGAGGGTGGAGGCAACGCGACGGTTGGAGCTATCGGTGCTCGAGTTTGACACCACAGGCGCTGGGTGGAATTTCGTTGGGAATGGGTTTTGCTAGAGCTTTGAAGATCCAGCTGATTTGTCGTCTTTTTCTTCCGCTTCTCTACGACGGCCAGGGATGCGGAGATTTGAGATATGCTACTCTTCCTCACGGCTATCGTTTCCTGTTCTTCTCGTCTCTCTGCTTCTTTTGGGTTGCTGCGAAGGTTTTTCGATCTGAAAAAATGAAAAGATGGTGATAATTTTTTGTGGTTGGCGAGTGGATTTGTGATTTGGGTGGTGAAAATGAATTGGACAGATCTAGAGTTAGAGTTCAAGTTCTGCAAGTGGATTTGATGGACAATATGGATGGATTTGGGGTTTTTGGTTTTCTTAGTGAGAAAAATGGGAAATGAGATAGGATGAGAGAGGTAGAGAAGGGTGGTCCACCATGGGTCATGAATTAGGATATGTGTTGGGTTAGTGTTTTAATGACATGGCAGGTTGTGACGATGTGGCGGGTCGAGTTTAGAATTTTTTCAGGTTAAATCTGGTTAATTAGGTGATTCTGTTTGCCATGTCAACACTTAACGAACTTTATTAATGGAGTTGGACGGAGACTAATGGAGAGTGACCAAACATGACATATTTTACTGAATTTAGTGATTATTATTGATATTAATTTTTTCTAGTAATACATGACACATTTTAGTAATCACAGTGACCAAACATGGCATTTACTCCTTTTACTTTTCCAGATAAAACAACATTACAGATTTTGGCAGAATACGTGCACATCAAAACAACCCCAAGCCCCCAATTATATTATATTTCGTTTGGTTTTGGTGATAATTTGGTTGGGATAGTTACAATACATCCATTGTCGACAATGCATCGTTTTTCTGAATTATTTGCACAAACAATACAAGCATTTTTTGCTTTATTTGACACAAACTATCTCTCAAAATGAGTGATAGTTAAATCTCAAGTTTTGGGTGAGATTGTTGAGATTGTTTGGTTGAGGTTATTGGGTTTTGTTTTTGTTCCCGCTATAACCCTACTTTCTTATGTGTGTTGCTTTTCGTATTAAAAACAAAGAGCAAATGTGACATTTCACTCAAAAAGTAGTCTAACTTATTTAAAACTATAATAACTATCACAGAAACCAAACAATGAAAACTACAATACACCAAATTTCATATATACTTGTATATTATTATGCATGCATTGATTACAATGCCTCATTTAACTATCACTAAAACCAAACCACCCGTAACATTCTATCACCATACTCCGGCGGTACCCCAAGTCAACATAACATAGTTGTCCAGATAGACTTTGTCGCTGCGAAAGAAAAAAAAAAAAAAAAGGCAAGAAAATATACAGTTTCAAATGGATATATACTTGGCTTTGGCCATTCTGTTCTGTGTATGCTTTGTTTTTTATTCACATTTCAACACCCAATCTGGAGCTGGCAGCCATTGACGGCCGTATCAACTGTAAAAAGAAAATGGAAAAACATTCCAAAAACCAAACTAAGAAAACAGAAGAATACTCTCTCAACCCCCAACAACACAACAAATATATACAAAGGAGCAGAAGAGGAAGCATCACTACAACCCGCCATTCAGCCGCGCAGCAGCCACTGCCAGCCAGAAGCTCTTGTCATCATCTCTCTGTAAACTCCAACCCGAAACAACATTCACCAACACCACCATAACGTGCCTTCTCCTGGCTCGTCCATTCTCGTCCAAAGCAGTACTCTTCTTGGTTTATATACAATGGCAACGAATGCCAAAAAGGACAGGACAACATTCAGCGAGCGATCTTCAAGCAACCCAAGATAGCTCTCCCTTACACGGGAATCGTCTGACCAGTGAGTGCGTCATGGAGATGGAGGGATCCATTTTTCATCAGGTTGAGACTCAAACTCTTGAACCTCTCTCTCGAGTACTGTCTCGAAGCCTTTCTCCAGTCCGTTCCAGCTTTCATCATCGTCACGAATTCGTCGTAGCTAATGCACCCGTCCTTGTCTGTGTCCACTTCTCGCATGATGTCATTTAGGGCAGCTTCATCAGTTTTGCCATTTCCGTCGACTAATGCCTCTCGTAGCTCATCCAGATCAATATACCCACTGCCATCCTTATCGAAGTACACAAACGCCCTACGGACATGCACATCGTTCTCCATCTTCTGCAGGTGGATTGTGACTGCTACGAACTCACCGTAGTCCAGCGTGCCGTTTCCATCGACATCGGCCTATACATGAAATTGAATATTACGGAGGCTAAGTAAAACTACAGTAAAGATAGATTTTTCATTCGGACCCGACAAAATTATAAGAAAAGGGTGTTCTGTTTTACCACTTCCATAAGCATCTTGATCTCTGGCTCGGCCAACTGTGAGCCGACATTCCAAAGCCCAGCTCTCAGCTCCTCGTACGATACTTTGCCATCACCGTCAGTGTCCATCAGAGTGAACATATCTCTTATGACTTCCACCTCTTCGAGTGATAAGTGTTCAGCAATGACCCGGAGTGCTTTCTTCTTGAATCTGTTCATCATGGAGAACTGCTTGAGCCTCGTCCTCACAATATCCCCCAATGGGACATTTGGAGCTTTCTTCGCATTCTGAATCCACGGATGATCTATACCAACCAAATCAAAGGATCAAAAGTTGGAGCACTAAGACCAACAGAAATATAAAAAAATGCGGTTAGAACAAGTTAACTTTTTTCACAATTTGCTGATGCATAGAACAAATCACCCCCACACTAATGATTTGTCTTCTTCACTACTAATCAGAGAAAGCATTCTTCTTTATAAGCTTAACATAATAGGTAAATAGTTTTCCTTGTCCATCAGTTTAAGCATGATAAAGAATACCACACGTAACGAGTCTGTTTTGCTATAGAAGTAAATATCACCAAATTCAGCTCTTTAACCTTAACAGAACTCCCAATGAATTTGAACAGAAGTCTAATAGAAACATCCTCCTCTCCGTGACTAATCAAGAAAATCCCTCAAGAATTCAGAATCCAAACAAGTGCTGTCCATCATTTCAAATACATACTCAAACCTAAGTTTCTTCAAAACTCTTAAGACTAATGCACACTACCTGCTATTTAACACACGAAATGAATCCTTGTTGCTGTAATTGAGAGAGGACATACCTAGCACTTGCTGAGCAGTCAAGCGGTTGGAGGGATCCGGATCCAACATCTGCCTAACAAGGCTCCTGGCACTTTCTGAAATCTGTGGCCATGGTTCCCTCTTGAAATCAAGATTCCCCCTCAAAATTGCAAGGGCAACACCCTGCTCACTCTCTGCCAACCAAAAAGGGCACAACAAATTCTTAAAATCTCCATCAAATTGTTCCACAGCACTTTTTAATAGTAATTGTTTTCCCCTTTCCAGCTCTTATTCTGCTGGTACTTGTGCAAGAACTTTTTCCAATGCTGTAGAACAAAAAAGGTACCTGCCCAAAATGGAGGAACCCCACATAACAGAATGTAAAGTATCACTCCAGCACTCCACACATCAACCTCGGGCCCATAGTTTCTCTTCAACACCTCTGGTGCCATGTAGTATGGACTCCCAACGATCTCAGTGAATATCTCCCCTGCAATAACCACAACAAGATGTACCCTCCAAAGATTATATCGCAAAACCCACACCAGAAAAGGAATGAAATCGAAATGGTCAGAAAGCAGGACAAGAGGAAACAACCTGACATACCCAAGAATTCAACTTGTTAATCGAGAAGGGGAAAGCAAGCAAATTGCAAAAAAACCCAGAAATTGAAATCCCCACCCACCTACCAGGCTTGAAGAACACGGACAACCCAAAATCGATGGCTTTGAGCGGCGAATTCTCCTTCTTATTAGCGAACAAGAAATTCTCGGGCTTCAAATCCCTGTGCATGACCCCATTCACATGGCACATCCTGACAACCTCGGCGACCGTCCGGGTAACGCTCGCCGCCGCTCGCTCGCTGTAATGCCCTCTCGCCACAATCCGGTCGAACAGCTCGCCCCCTTCGCACAGCTCCATCACCAAATGAACGTTCTCGTAGTCCTCGTAAGTAGCCCTCAGCTTGACGATGTTGGGGTGGTCGGGCAAGCTCGCCATGATGGCCACTTCCCTTCTCACATCCTCTATGTCCACCGCCGTCCGGAGCTTCCGCTTCGAAATCGACTTGCAGGCAAGCGCTTCTTTCGTCTCCTTGTCCGTAGAGAGATACGTGATCCCGAACTCGCCCCGGCCCAGTTCCCGGCCCAGGATGTAGTTGTCTCCGATCCGGGGGGGACGGTGGCTGACTGGGACGACGTCGTTCAAGACCCGGATCGGGGCCGCGGAACGAATCGGGTCTTCAGAGAACGGGTTGGGCTTCCTGTCCTTGCTATTGGGCTTCTTGTTGGTATCGTGGCCTTTGGAATCCAGCGGCGGCGATTCCGGTCGCACGCAGGCGTTACAGTTGCCCATTTAATGAGCTCGCTCGGCCTTTTGCTCTGCCTACCAGAGCTACTGGTTGTGGAATTGAACTGAAATTGGGGGGAAGGAGAGGTTGGCGGCGGCGGGGGAAGGCGGAAGCCGGTGGTGGAATGTTTGGTTGAGCGAGAGAGAGAGAGAGAGAGAGAGGAAACGCGGGGTTCAGTTGAGGAAAAGAGAGGGTTTTTTTAAAATAAAGATAGGTCGCAACATCAACCCAAGGCATCACAATGTCCATTATTTTGTCTTTTCTCTACAAATTTCTCTTCTTGTGTAAATAACCCACAACTATATATATATATCGATAGTATAAGAGCTTCCCGTGAAAAAAATCCTTTGTATGTAAAAGTAGTTACAGTTGTGGAGCTTATTGGAGAACTAATCAAGTCCTAAACCACAACAAACAACCACAATCTTCAAAGGTCCTCTTTAATCAAATGGTTACTGATGAAGTGAAAAAATGCAGAGGAAAAGAAGACTTCAAAGTTGACTAAGGAGTGTTTAAGTGGAACAGTGTCGTTCCTCTTCTATCCATAATCAAGGATTGAAGTTGAAATGTCATTTGTTTCGTGTAATTCCAGTGAGATATCTCTATCTAGACCATAATGTTAATTGAGTTTGGGTATGATATTATATCCTAATTTCTAATGGATAAACCCCAGATCCCGATTATCTAAACTCGAACCCGAAGTTTAATTTAATTAAAAATAATAATTGACCATTGATATTGGCCGGAGCTAATCGAAGTACATCTAACGATCAGATCACCGGGAGTATACCACACTCCTGGAGTATACAAGTCATTACCATATATATGGGTCAGACTGGTGTACTCGTGGAGTGAAGTATAGCATACTTCATGTACTTCTAGCGAGATATCTCTATCTAGACCATGACTTTAATTTAGTTTGGGGTATGATACCCTAACCTCTAATAGATAAACCCCATCTAAATTTGAACTTAACTGTAGTAGATGATCATGGTATTTGTTAAAACCACAACTTGGATTCTGGTTCTAGAATAAAAGTTTATCTTAACAGAAGAAACGAACATGATTTTTTCTTGTTCAGCAAGCACACTCAAATCCATCTCAAAGGCATGAAGATGGTCACTAAACTAAATGTTGTTCCTTTTTACTTTGTTGTATGAATTTTCACCACTTATAGCTGGATGATTTTAATGTGGTTCCTTTTCATATATGCTCACTGCAACTGTTTTAATGTTATTCCTTTTTACTTTACTGTATCAATTATCTCCATCAACAACGGGATGATTCTGGCTTGTAGCTAAACAATATATGTATAATGAGAAGAAGGAATAGTGTACATTGAAACCCTAGAAACTGTTGGAAATGTGTATGAATAGCTTTGAAAGCTATAAAGTCTCAAGTGGAAAAACTACCACATTGGTAGTTTTACTTGGTGAAATGAGTATAAAGATAGGAGCCTCTCTCCTAAGGGCATGCCCCTTGGGGTGACCCACTTTTGTGGGAGAGGGAGGACCTAACGGACCACCACACACGCGCGCCGTCCGTCCGACCAACCGGTTGGATGGATGGATCACTTGAGACTATATACATATTTTTTGGAGAAATTCCGAACGAAATTAATTATTTAATAATTAATTATTAATCGGTTATTCTGAGGAATATTCCAAGGGATAATCGATTTAAAAGGAATATTCGAAGGATGAGATTTATCCTAACCGACGGTTTTAATTAAGGAAGTAATTATCTTCCTTAATTAATCCGACTTATTCCCCAAGCAAGAGGGAATATTCCTAGGGGTTCGGCTCCTATAAATAGCCGCCTCCCCAGCCCCTCTAAAAAAACCACAACGAGCATAAACACAATAGAGAGAGTGATTATCTTCCTAACCGATGGTTTTAATTAAGGAAGTAATTATCTTCCTTAATTAATCCGACTTATTCCCCAAGCAAGAGGGTATATTCCTAGGGGTTCGGCTCCTATAAATAGCCGCCTCCCCAGCCCCTCTAAAAAAACCACAACGAGCATAAACACAATAGAGAGAGTGTTCAGAGAGCTCCGGTTTTCGCACAAAACCGCGAGTACACAGAGGAGCTGTTTTATCCTGGAGACGACCGGTTGATAGTCTGCCGTGCGCATCGAGGGCAGTGCCGCGAACGTCTTAAAGAAAGCGACCTAGTCCGCGACTCAGCTCCAGATTCGGTATCCTCATCTTGTTGTTGTTCCGTTTATAACAATTTTAAGACGCTCGGCTGCTGCTATGTCGAGCGAAAGCCATGTTAAAAGAGAGCTTTGAGGTGAAAGATCTGGGAGAAGCAAAGTTTATGCTTGGAATCCAGATAACTAGAACAGCAAATGGTTATTCCCTAGATCAATCTAGTTACATAGAGAAGATCTTGAAGAAGTATAACTATTTCGACTGTAAACCTGCGTGTACTCCGTATGATGCTAGTGTAAAGCTATTCAAGAACACTGGAGACAGTGTAAGACAAACAGAATATGCTAGCATCATTGGCAGTCTCCGTTATGCTGCGGATTACACTCGACCAGACATTGCATATGTCGTGGGGTTGCTTGGCAGGTTTAACAACTGTCCTAGTAGAGAGCATTGGAATGCTATAGAGAGGGTCATGAGATACCTCAAGAGAACAGCAAACCTTGGTATACACTATCAAAGGTTTCCCGCTGTACTAGAAGGGTATAGTGATGCGGATTGGAATACCCTATCAGATGACTCCAAGGCAACCAGCGGATATGTTTTTAACATCGCTGGTGGAGCTGTGTCTTGGAAGTCAAAGAAACAAACAATCCTAGCTCAATCAACTATGGAATCAGAAATGATAGCACTAGCAACGGCTAGTGAAGAAGCAAGTTGGTTGAGAGGATTGTTGTCAGAGATTCCCCTATGGGAAAGCCCGGTCCCTCCGGTATTGATACATTGTGATAGTACCGCAGCTATAGCTAAAGTTGAGAACCGGTTCTATAACGGAAAGAAACGACAGATTCGTCGTAAGCACAGTACTGTTAGAGAACTCCTAACGATAGGAGCAGTGAGGGTGGATCATATAAGATCCGAACAGAATCTAGCTGATCCTTTGACGAAAGGATTACCTAGAGAGAAAGTCCAGAATACCGCCAAGGGTATGGGACTTATGCCTACCGAACCACGGACTACAAGTGATGGTAACCCGACCCAATAGACTGGAGATCCCAAGAAATGGGTTCAATGGGTAATAACAAGTCATGAGTAGTATGCGAAAAGTTCATGCATAATGAAGCATGAATCCCAAAGCAATGTAGGTTGAGTTAATAACTCTTAATGAGATCTATACCCTATGTGGGGTGGAGTACTTTACTTTGGGGGTACTCCTGATAGACTCACCTATGTGAATGTGGGAGTGGGGCCGCTCTCTATGGAACTTTGAGAGGCACAAAGTTGCTAGAGCGTTCACTAAACCAGGATAACGTGCATGGCCATAAACGCACGGGCTAAGAAGAGAACACAACTCAATGAAAAGATCCGGTGTGCTACACTGTCTGAGATAGGGTTCAAGACTACGAGTCACCCTTATGAAATCGGAAGTGTAACCACTACGCTAAGGTTCAAATCTTCGCGATACCTTAGCTTATGCCCGATCTTATGGAACTGTTAATGCTCAGAGATAGTTTCAAAACTATTCAAGTGGGGGATTGTTGGAAATGTGTATGAATAGCTTTGAAAGCTATAGAGTCTCAAGTGGAAAAACTACCACATTGGTAGTTTTACTTGGTGAAATGAGTATAAAGATAGGAGCCTCTCTCCTAAGGGCATGCCCCTTGGGGTGACCCACTTTTGTGGGAGAGGGAGGACCTAACGGACCACCACACACGCGCGCGCGCCGTCCGTCCGACCGACCGGTTGGTTGGATGGATGGATCACTTGAGACTATATACATATTTTTTGGAGAAATTCCGAACGAAATTAATTATTAATCGGTTATTCTGAGGAATATTCCAAGGGATAATCGATTGAAAAGGAATATTCGAAGGATGAGATTTATCCTAACCGACGGTTTTAATTAAGGAAGTAATTATCTTCCTTAATTAATCCGACTTATTCCCCAAGCAAGAGGGTATATTCCTAGGGGTTCGGCTCCTATAAATAGCCGCCTCCCCAGCCCCTCTAAAAAAAACCACAACGAGCATAAACACAATAGAGAGAGTGTTCAGAGAGCTCCGGTTTTCGCACAAAACCGCGAGTACACAGAGGAGCTGTTTTATCCTGGAGACGACCGGTTGATAGTCTGCCGTGCGCATCGAGGGCAGTGCCGCGAACGTCTTAAAGAAAGCGACCTAGTCCGCGACTCAGCTCCAGATTCGGTATCCTCATCTTGTTGTTGTTCCGTTTATAACAGAAACAATTCACACCAATTTGGTGTTATGATATCAGATGCGGGTTAAGGTTCTTACCCTTTCCTCTCTTTTACCTTCTTCCTTCTTATTTTCTACCATTCCTTTCTCTAAATTTAACAATAATGGTGGATTAAGCTCATGAGATGACTGCTCATAATCAAGCTGAAGATAGAAGGTGTATCTAAACATGTCATTCGCCTAGCCGCTGGTTATCTATTGTCGGATCCATTATATTCTACCTTAATGGATCAGGAGTCAGGACAACCATGACAATTAAGTTATGGTTTCTCAGAAGCTCACACCAAAAAACAAGTCGTGTTTCATCAATGTAAGCATCCCTAAGCCAGAAGCAGGAGATATGATGGCCTAACGATTGATGAGTTTCAGTAATATGGTCAAGAATCGCATTCTACATCATTTGATGAGGTAATTGGAAAAAGCGCTCGAATCATTCAATTTGCCATAGAGGTATGGCAAACCTTGAAACTCATGTATGCATAAGGTGTCTTAATTCGATTTGTTTTGCTACCAAAAAAAAAAAACTATGTAAATATGAAGCAAGCCATCAAGAGTTTGTTTGTATACCACACTCACTTGATTACTATATGCGAAGAGGTGAAATGTTATAAGAGTATAACTTCTTGCACTTGTAGTGCTAGTCATAATACTTGCCAGGCAATGAAGGTGTTACCCTGCAGAAATAACAATATGAGGCTTTAATGATCTTGTTGAATAATGGAAATGGAAGCAACAGCAATGCTTCTGCTTCATACCCAACCTTTGCTTTCATCGTTTAGAATTATAATG